ATAATCTTATAAACCTCAATCATGTCACCCCTCAGTTGTCGTTTCTCCAAACTAAAGAGCCCTAAGCGCTTTAACCTTTCTTCATAGGGAAAGTGTTCCAACCTTTTTATCATTTGAGTTGCCCTTTTCTGCACTTTTTCCAAAGCTATAATATCCTTTTTAAGGTGTGGTGACCAGAACTGCACACAGTTTTCCAAATGAGGTCGCACCATTGATTTATATAGGGGCATTATGATATTGGCTGATCTGTTTTCAATACCCTTCCTAATAATCCCCAGCATAGCATTGGCCTTCTTTATTGCAGTCACACACTGTCTCGACATTTTCAGTGAGTTATCCACTACAACTCCAAGATCTCTCTCTTGCTCAGTCTCTGCCAGTTCAGACCCCATCAATGTGTATTTATATTTAGGATTTTTGGCTCCAATGTGCATCACCTTGCACTTGGCCACATTGAACCCCATTTGCCATGTTGACGCCCACTCGCCCATCCTTGACAGATCCCCTTGGAGTGCCTCACAATCCTCACTGGTTTTCACCACCCTGAACAACTTTGTATCATCCGCAAATTTAGCCACTTCACTGCTTACTCCCAACTCCAAATCATTAATGAACAAGTTAAAAACTCAGATGTTGTCAACGGGATAAAACAGGAATTGGAAACAGAATTAATTCACCTGCAACAGAAGCAGGTGGGTTCTAGAACCTTCTTCCCTTTTCACTCATTTTTGAGACCTCCAGGGTTGTTATTGTTATTATTATTTTACCATTATTTATTAGATTTTTACCCCACCCTCCCAGCATAGAACATAAGAACATAAGAACATAAGAGACGCCAATGTTGGATCAGGCCAAAGGCCCATCCAGTCCAACACTCTGTGTCACACAGTGGCCAGAAATACCAGTGCCATCAGGAGGTCCAGCAGTGGGGCCAGGACATTAGAAGCCCTCCCACTGTTGACCCCCCCCCCAAGCACCAAGAAGACAGAGCATCACTTGCCCCAGAGCCCCTAGCTATACCTTGTGGCTAATAGCCACTGATGGACCTCTGCTCCATATGCTTATCTAATTCCCTTTTGAAGCCGTCCATGCTTGTAGCACCCACCACTTCCTGTGGCAGTGAATTCCATGTGTTAATCACTCTTTGGGTGAAGAAGTACTTCCTTTTATCCGTTCTAACCCGACCGCTCTGCAGTTTCATGGAGTGCCCACGAGTTCTTGTATTGTGAGAAAGGGAGAAAAGTACCTCTTTCTTTACCTGCTCTTTCCCATGCATAATCTTATAAACCTCGATCATGTCACCCCTCAGTCGTCTTTTCTCCAAGCTAAAGAGCCCTAAGCGCTTTAACCTTTCCTCATAGGGAAAGTGTTCCAACCCTTTTATCATTCGAGTTGCCCTTTTCTGCACTTTTTCCAAAGCTATAATATCCTTTTTAAGGTGTGGTGCCCAGAACTGCACACAGTATTCCAAATGAGGTCTCACCATTGATTTATATAGGGGCATTATTATATTGGCTGATCTGTTTTCAATACCCTTCCTAATAACCCCCAGCATAGCATTGGCCTTCTTTATTGCAGTCACACACTGTCTCGACATTTTCAGTGAGTTATCCACTACAACTCCAAGATCTCTCTCTTGCTCAGTCTCTGCCAGTTCAGACCCCATCAATGTGTATTTATATTTAGGATTTTTGGCTCCAATGTGCATCACCTTGCACTTGGCCACATTGAACCCCATTTGCCATGTTGACGCCCACTCGCCCATCCTTGACAGATCCCCTTGGAGTGCCTCACAATCCTCACTGGTTTTCACCACCCTGAACAACTTTGTATCATCCGCAAATTTAGCCACTTCACTGCTTACTCCACTGCTTACAGCAAGGCCGGCTCAGGGCGGCTTACAACAATACAAAACGGTACGCTAAATAATAAAACTCAGTCAAACACAGATTTAAAACCATGACTATACAACTTCCACTTAAAGGGTTGTGCTTAAAGGGTTGTGCTTAAAGGTCGGCCACTCAGTTGTACACACAAATGGCATGTCAGCCCCACCAGATGGACAGAAGATGGCATGGAAGGGAAACTCTCTAAAAGTTGCTTGTCTGCCCAAGACACCCTGTTGTGATAAAGCTCAGGGCGGCTCTGCTTTATGACAGCAGGAAGACCTCTTGTGAGCCATCTGGCAAAAAAAAACGGGGCGTTCTGGAAACTTCTTCCGCTGGGTTTGTTGAAGGCGAGGCGATTCCTTGCTCTTCCCATTTGAATATATTTTACCTGCTTTTAGTTCTTTGGGGGTCATTATAAGCGTTAACAGCCCTTTCCTCCCGTCTGGCCCCAGGAGCCAGGATTCAGAGGTCGATCACCTGTTATCTCGAGGGGCTCAATTTTACTCAGAGGGCGAGAGACTTATTTTTAGTGATTGGATTTCGTTGTTTGCTTTCCAGCAGGGGAGAAACATCAAGGAGAGACAAGCAGGGAGTTGGAGACAGGTAGAAAGGTAAAGGTTCCCTTGCTCGAAAGCCAGTCGAATCCGACTTTAGGGTTGCGGTGCTCATCTCCGTTTCCAAGCTGAAGAGCCAGTGCTGTCCGAAGACGTTTCCGTGGTCATGTGGCCGGCATGACTAAACACCAAGGTGTACGGAATGCTGTTACCTTACCACTGAAGTGGTACTGATTTATCTACTTGCAATTTCTTGCTTTCGAACTGCTAGGTTGGCAGGAGCTGGAACTAGAGACGGGAGCTCATGAGACAGGTACGAGTTTGTAAGATACACGTTTATGAAAAAGCCGCATTTCTACTTAGAGGACTGCAAGAGATTGCCACTGTGTTGCATGTACATCACGGAGTTCCAGTATACCTGTCGATGTCTGTGCGAGTGGAGAGGCTCGCGTCTAGTGCCAGATGGTTCTTAAAGGCCAGGACAGAAAAGTGGAGGGTGAGCAACTCAGCACTCCACAATAGGTCTCCCAGGCGCTCCTACGCTTGGCAGCAGACACAATGCAGACAACCGACTGATTGGTCGTTTATTATGAGTTTTTGGTCCTATAAAGTTACATCAAACACAGAGATGTTACAGATAGAAGACTCACAGAGTATATCTAAATACAGCTCTGAAAGTGGATCAAGAAGATTGATGACTTCTTTAAGAACTCGATCTTGTGTCAGCTATGCTGCCATATTGTTTATGGGCCCGGATTGGCTTTCATGACCTATGTACCAGTTGATGCCACATTCCTTCCCCTGCTCTTCTCCCCTTGTTATCACTGACCTTGTAGCCTGCCTGTGTAGTGTCTTCCCATCAATTAACTGTGTGACTAGTTTCGTTTCCCAGCCTCGGCTCTAAGGGCTCTGGTCCTCCTTCCCGCTCGTGGCAGTCAGGCCGATTGGCCCATAGGTGGTGGTGGGGGGTGCATTTGAATGCCCTCTATCTCTATCTGCTTTCTAGATGGTAGTTATTCCTAACAGTGAACATGTTCCTGCAACCATAGTACTGGCAATAAAGTATAACCTTTCTAGAAAAGCATGTCCTCAATTGTTTGACTGTGGGTCCTGACATATTGGTCTTTGTTTCACACACTTATAAACTGTAAATGTAAAGGTTCCCTTGCTCGAAAGCCAGTCAAATCCGACTCTAGGGTTGCGGTGCTCATCTCCGTTTCAAAGCCGAAGAGCCAGCGCTGTCCGAAGACATTTCCGTGGTCATGTGGCCGGCATGAGTAGATGCCGAGGCGCACGGAACGCTGTTACCTTCCCACCGAAGTGGTACCTATTTATCTACTTGCAATGTCTTGCTTTCGAACTGCTAGGTTGGCAGGATCTGGAACTAGAGACAGTGGCACCCGGGTCTCGAACTGCTGAACTACTGACCTTCCACAGCCTGCAGTTCAGCCTCTTAACCACTTGAGCCACCGCAGTATAAACTGTATTCTGCTGTTAATTTTTATATCCCACCTTACTCACGGCTACTTACAAACAGCTGTAAAATAGGCTATGAAAACGAATAAATCCGCAATACAACACAATTCTAGTCATTTGTTTCCACAATGGCATGTATAACATTTGAGCGCAGGAGCCAGGATAAGGCAGCAGAGTTCAGATTTCTGGCTTTGAGGGGCTGCAGTTGTGGGACTAGTGGCACTCGGCTAGACGGTTAGCTTTAGACAGCCACCCTGAGCCTGCTTGGATACAAGTTTAATAAGCTTAGCCACAAGGGGTCATTTCCTGCAGGAGCGCACAGGAGCAGAGCTCCCGCAGAGCTCCATTCTCTCCCCCCCCCTCCTCAGAGGTGCGTTAAAACCTCAGTCTGCATCTCCACTAG